TTATATTTTTTATGTCAAAATTAACAGCTTTTTATTTTGTGTATCCCTTAACTAATTATTGCATTTATTTTTATTCTTTTTTAGCTTTTTCCTTTCACACTGCCTTTGTAAGTGGTTATCTTTTAGTCCTCAGCTTTTGACATTTTACATTTTAATGTGTGTAGGTGTGGGCCTCTAGGTTCATCTGTTTTGGAACTCTCTGGGCCTCCTGCACCTGGATGTCTGTTTTCTTGCCCAGAAAAGGGAAATTTTCATCTATTATTACTTTGAAATGTTTTCCGTCCCATTTTCTCTTGTCCTGTTGCGACTTTTATAATGGGAATAAATGTTGGTCCACTTGATGTCCTCTGAATCCTTTAAGCGATCTTTACTGTTTCACGCATTTTTCTTTTTGTTCCTCTAATTGGATGAGTTCTTCTCCACTGTCTATGAGTTTGCTGCTCCTTCTATTAATACTTCATCAGTTCACTGTATAAACCCTCTATTGCACTTTTCATGTCAGTTAGTGTACTCTTCGTCTCTGTGACTTCTATTTGGTAATGTCACTTGGTTGGAATTCTCACTTTGCTCATGTATTTTTCTCCACATTCCTTGAGCATCTTCATGACTGTTCCTTTGAACTCTTTATCAGTTAAATCACTTGTCTCCCTTTCATTAGGTCTTTTCTTAGTCTTTACCTTATTTTATATGGAGTGGATTCCTTTATTCATTTTTTCCTTGACACTCAGTATGTTTCTATTAGGTAAAAATAGTCACCTCTCTCAGTCTTGAAAGAGTGGCTTCATGTAGAAGATGAGCCATATTATTCAGCCCTGTACAGGCTGTTGGTTGCCTCTCAAACCTTTGTCATTGTCCAAATAGCCTATTTTATTCTGAGTTTGCTGTACCTCCTGCAGGTGTGCCAAGACCCGTCAATGTCCCAATGGATAAGACCTCAGTCAGCATCTAGATTCAGGTCGATTGGAAGCCAGACTCTCAGACAGCAGTTTCTACAGTATGGGAATGTGCCTCTTTGGGGGGAATACTGGGAGAAGTTTCTGTCTTCTTCCTCCATACTGAGCCTTGGGTTATAGCCAGTAAAAACCTGTTTGTTGGCTTTTGTCTAGTTCCGTGGTTGACACACTGCAGCTGGCGAGCCTCATGCAGCTCTTTGGCCCCTTGATGGTGGCTCTTCCACAAAATACCACAGCCTGGGCAATCTATTTTGAAGAAGTGGTGTTAGAAGTTTAAAAAGTTTGGCTCTCAAAAGAAATTTCAGTCATTGTACTGTTGCTATTTGGCTCTGTGACTAGTAAGTTAGCCCAGTTGCTCTAGTTGAACCCGTGAACACAAAGCCCACTGGCCATCAAGGCCATGGTCTCAAGGACGTGTCCTTTGGGCAGCAGTCACAAAAACTGTAGTTTTTGCTTCTTCCAAGGAGACAAGAGTAGCCTGGTTTGGGCATTGTGGGGCACCAAATAGTGCCTGCCGGCCTCGCCATTTCTGGAGAGGATTTTGGTCAGCCCCTAGAAGCCTGCCCCTTAGCTATGAAGACCAGCTAATTGTCCTCTTTCCCAGAAAGATTGGGTATGTTTCAGTCTGCTGACTATGCTGTGACCTGCGGCTGGGGGTAGTTAGTTGAGAACTGTTTCTCCATTACAGTCCTAGGGGCCCCACAAAGATAAGCCCTGCCGGACACCTGAGCCAGGCGAACAAGTGGTGTCTTCTGGGCAGCTGCTTCCGATGTGTGCACAGCTCTTTTTCTGAGGTACCAGTGACCCTGGAGTGAGCAGATGGAGTATGTGAAGATAGTACCTGCCCCCTGAGGTCTCTGGAGATGCAGTCAGCTTTTAAGAGTGTTTGATTAGATGCCTGCCTCTTAGGATGCCCCTATTAACTAGGCCCCCTACGTGGATATTACATTAGATGCTCACCCTCCAGGCTGCCCCCTTAAAATAAGCAAATAGGCCTCTTTCCCAGAAAGACTGGCCACTTTTCAGTCAGCTGTCTTTGTGCTGGGCTGCAGGGTGGGTGAGTCTGTGTGTGGGAACCCTTTAAGAACAGTTTCTCTGACTGCAGTAGCCTCATGGGTCCCGTGCTCACAAGCCCCATGGAATTTTGAGGGGATTCCTTTTGGGGACACTTTCATTTGCAGGTCTTAACAGTTGGGGTGCTCGCTGTAGGTTCAAATATCTTCACTCTTCAAGAAGCTTGGTGCTTATAGACTGTTCTACTGAGGTGGGCTTTTTGGCAAGATTGTGTCTGAGCCTCTCCTTCCTGTGTCAGTGCATTTTAAAATATTTTCCCAATATATATGACTCACTCAGATAGTGCTGGGTTTCTTTCAGAGATTATTATGCAGGTATGTTCAGCATCTTCCTGCGTTACATACATCTTGAGCCAACACGCTGTATATTTAATTTCCAAGGGAGGAGATATGCTAATGTGGTCACAAAATATTTCTACCTGGGCTTACCAATGTTATTTGCATGCATATACACAATGAACTAATGTGGTTTCTCAGTTATGCAATCAAACACACTTTGCTTTGAAGTGATTTTTGCGGACATATTTACATCCCAAATCCAGGGGTTTTAGGCGGGATTATCCGAGTGGGCTTCACCTCGTCAGGTCTTCCCTTGAAAGTATTCGGGCCTCTGTTGCCAAGACATTCAAAGAGTGTTGTCTTGAGGGAGGTTCTCATTGCTGAGTTTGAAGGTGGCAAGGAATGTGAGTGAGTGGTCGGAGGAGTTGAGTGGCCCTTAGCGACAGACTCAGTGAGACTCATGTCTTGCATCTGTGAAGAACTGAGTTGTCATAACAACTTAAGCTGCAAAGAGGATCTTGAGCTCCAGATAAGAACAATTTAGTAGATACATTTATTTTAGTCTTGCAATAGTCTGAGCAGAGAATCTAGACATATCGTGCCTGAAATTCTAACCCAGAGACCTGTGAGCTAAGAAATGAGTATTGTTTTAAGCCTTAGTTTGCAGTAATTTGTTACAGCAGCAATAGAAAACCAAAACAACCCAATATTTTGCTTCACAAAATTGCAACTATGATTTGTTAAATATTTATTGATGTTAAATCCACATTACACCAGCACAACAACCCAAAGTAGTATGATAGTACTATTTTTTTTTTTTTATAAATACAACATAAAAGATGGCAAAATAATGCTACTTAATCCCAAACCCAGAAAATTAGCAAAAAGTCACATTCAGAAAAATTTGGCAAGTAAGATATGACATAGGTCATAGTACTACAATATAGGTAGGTCCATGAGGGACTCTGTATAGTATCTTAAATTCCATGTTAGTAATGCACATAAGTGTGGCCAAAGACGCTTGTACCACTGCATAGAACATCTGCCATCCGGTGCTCAAGCCTGTTAGTCATTTCAAACTTGTTTGGTTGCTGTTCTTACAAAGAAGTAGAAAGCTGTACATGTGAAGCAGTAATATGAAATCTATGGGGTGGTACACAGGTAAAAAATTACTGTAAAAAATACTATGTATTGAATTGAGTAACTGAGCTTAGAGAGTTCAACATTTTTATTATAAATAATGAAAGATATATGTGTTTTGCATAAGGAATACAGTGTTTTCTTTTCATAGCAAAGTACCATTAAAACCTCATGTTTTATAAAATTAGGCCAAATTGTTGTTTCTTCTTTTTAAAGTTTATTGGTTCCGACTTAAAACCATCAAGTCTGGTCAGAGTCATCTCAGTCTAGCTGATGCAAAATCATATACATTTAAAAATCAGTCTTTGCTGAGATGCCTTTACAAACTCCTCAAAACGGCGCGGCACCTTCTTTTTAAAGCAAGGTTTCGTGTGAGCAGGGATGTGAACTGGTTTTTCCATTCACCATGTCTTGATGCAGTTGGAAAAAAAAATACATTATGGCACAAACCTGTTTTTGTCTCTCCTAAATCTCCATTTCCTTCAATTAGACTAGATGCTACAGGCAATGTCTCTCTTAACACCAATCTTGCAGTCTCAGTCCATTGTCAACTTGCTCTAAACATCTAAAATCATCAACAGCTACACAAACTCAGACATACTACATTTCCACAGCACAGGAGCTCCAACTTCCAGCTGGCCCTAGATTCCCGGACTTGTGAATTTTTCATGTACATGTGAGATTAATTTTTAAGAAAACCTGGCTTTGAACATGTCTCCTGCCCTTCTACTTTTATCTAAATGAGAACAATGTAGTAAGTATGTTGATAGCCTTTTCCTTCGTTCTTCTCTCCTTACTTCTTTCAAACCCCTGGTTCCGCCAAATGCTGTATGCCTTGGTTATTAGGGTGGTTTGGATGCCTTTCCTGGAATGGACTAATATATTTCTGCTCTATTCAGAATTTATATTTATATTACTTATATTTAAATTAGCCATTTAATATGGTTTGTAAATAAGCTTTCTACCTAGGTAGCATGAAAGGAAATAAGACACATAAAAAAGGTCAAGAACTAAGGTGTTACCCTTACTAGAAAACACTTGACAGTATTATATTTAAGGCAAGTCATTCCCTCCTTATGATTTAATATAAAACAGTTTGCAAAGACAAGGCATTGACTTGGATTCTTTTCCTCTTTCTTTCCCATCCTTACATATTGCACTGGGTTCACTGTAGCTGTCTGGATACACTGCCACTTTAGAATCATTTTAGTATTTTCGTGGTACAATTGCTTCCTGTTCCGCATTGCACACTATCACGTTGTGTAGCACCTAAAGCTAGTGTTTCAAGGCTCTTTGATAATACGAATTGTGGTTACCTTTAGCATTTCAGACCACTTTAATCACAGCAATTCAAAAGTTTTCCTGTGCAATGTGTACATTCCTATCAGCATCACCTATTTAAACTCTACGTTTGGTATATCAAGTAAAAAAAATATTTTGGTTTCTTTTATTTCTTATAGTCAAAGGTACGGTTTTGCCTTTTACTTAGTGACAAAGGCATATGCTGGTCAAGGCAAGGGTGTTTCAGTGTTTCAGCTTTAACAAGACTGTCGGGTTACAGGTCCTCACTCTCCACCAGGCCGGCGTTCAGCGTCAGGTGAGATGGGCTGGCGTCAGGCTGGAAGGCCGCTTTGATGTCTAGTCCCTGGTCCGAGAGCGCTGCGTAGCGACTGGCTGAGGGGCGTACTTTCTTTGGCTTGGTGCTCTGTGGCTGCTGATGCCACTGGGCTACAAAAACAAAAGCGGGCGTTTTTAACCATGATCACCAGAAAGCCTGAGATGTTCCAAGTAAAATACATGTCTTTGACATACTCCAGGCACATGTTCCTTATGAAGACTGGTAGAAATCCCAAAATTTAAGAATTGTTTTGCATTTTATTCATAAGTTGCCGAAGTTACTGTCTATACAGGGTATTGGGATTATAATGGCTGGATAATAAAGACCAAGTGCAGTTTATTTTGATTTGAAAATAAATCTTTGAGATAGTCTCTATAAGTTTTCTAATTTACCTCCCTCTTTTTTTTAATTTTCAGAGTTCATAATGTATAAATGCCACAATAATTAGAGTAGTTTGGTCTTCTGGATGGATCTTTTAACAGTGACCTATAGAAAGGAATTAGGCAGTCGGGAAAGTTGAGATTACTCATTTCCTAAAAAATTTAGGATGGCATAATCACAAATCTGTTGTTCAGCTGCTTAAGATATATTAATGAGAAAAGCACTAAGCCACAAAAGTATGCATTCCAGGATCAATGGTACACACACTCAGAGTGCAATAAGACATCGTGATAGGATTATAATTAAATGTTAAAAAAAAAAAAAAAAAGGCAGTCATTTGCAAAACATAGTAACAAGCATCATGTGAAAAACATGTGGTTATGCCTTTGCCTACGGTTAATGCCTAAAGTATGCTTGGGTAAGGAAGCCACAACTGACTAGCCAACATGCATAGTTTGCTAGTAACGCAAAGTTTCTGCATGATACTTGGGTGTTTGTTCTCCTGGTGTAGTTCACTATTAATGTCGAGAAACTATAAATAGAAAGAGAAAGAACAATATGAAAACTTTGGCAGAAAAACTCTAGCTTATAAGATTAAACAGCAGTAACGTGATTCGCTGTGCAGACGCCTGGCTTTCCCAATGTAATGGGCAACTGCAATGAGGCGGAGCGGCACTCACTGTAAACGTCCAGCCTGGCGGTGCAGGACACAATCCCGGCTTCGTTCTTGGCTGACACGGTGTACCACCCGGCATCTTCTTTTGTGGCTCCCTGAATGAGCAGGCAGATGTAGCCATGACTGTCCTGGTGCATGCTGGGGAAAAGGGTAAGGCCATTAGGGTTCCAAATTTGTAAAAAGTGGCTTTGAACACGAAGCATCACTTTTAATTAGGTCATTAGAAACAGAATGGTGTGAGCAGGCGATAATAGGGTCATCCTTATTCTGGAGAGGCTGCCAGCCCCATTAAAGTTAATGGGAGAGAAGAGCAGGCGTCAGGAGGTTGAATAAATCTGCACACTTAATTTCTAGTGAAGGATCTGCCTTTACCAAACCACTGAATAGTTTCTATCACCATTGCAGCAAATGAATTCATCTTTTCTTTTAGGTATAAAGACAAACACACACACACACAAAAAAAAATCACCATGAGATTAAATTAGAATGTGCTTCATCACATACCATTATAGCTTCTTTCTAAAGGCTTAAGCACACATTAGAGAGTGATTTTTTTGTTTTGTTTTGGGTGTCATCTGTAACATGATTCCCACACAGATTTACATGCTATAAGAAACATGTTTTCTACATATCATTAGAATTAGATTAATTCATCCTGTAGTCTCACCTCACTCGGTCAGTGCTGTGAGTGAGGGATTCGTTTTCTTTCTTCCAAAATATCTGAGGTGGTGGCACTCCTGAGACACGGCATTCCAGTCTCACCGGGTACCCGTCAGCAACGCCGGTGTTCTGCAGCTTCTCGATGAACACGGGGGGTTTGTGTGCCTCTTTAGCTAAGAAAACACGACATGAATGATCTATCAGTGATAGGTGAAAGGAGCACTCCTAAGAATTCAGAAGCTTTTTGGAATATTCCTTGAACAGATCTTTTATGATACTATTTTGTCACTTCAGAGGTGGCACGATGCAAGTCCTCTCTCCACATTATTCTTTCACCAGGAAAGGTTACTATGCTTCATCCCACTCATTTGTTTCCTCAATGAACTCAAGCCTGACAGGCCCACGCAGTCCACTGGCCATCTGCTCCACAGAATGTCTGTCTGACAGACAGTGTGAGACGCCCAAGCCATTGTCAGCAGCTGGGATGGCTTCACTGGCTAAGCGTGACCACACAGGCCAGCCTTTACCAACCACTGCCACCTAGTGGTGCTGAGGAGGACGCGTGGACCTAGGAATTTGATCCGCTTTAATTTCTCTCCCTGCTATCTGAAATGTTAGGAAGATTCTGAAATTTTATAAGTGGTGGCTTCAGTGAGAAGTACTGTAGGACTTAAAAGGGGAAACATAAAGGAGAGGCATTTTCATCTAACTTTAGCAGCTTTTAACTAGTTACCTATAAATTAAAGATTCCAATTTGTATTTGAAGGGCTATAAAAAGACCTTAAAGGAAGGATAACTTCATTAGTCTGAAAATTCAGAACTGTTAACACTCTAATAACACCGTCCAGTTGGGAAATTGTTTTCTTGGATCCAAGGTAGAAACAATTTCAGAGAAAATAAGGTTTAGTTTTATTTTCTTCTGAGCTACCAATAATGAATTTGAGGATACATGTCTTTCTCCACCATTTTATACCTTCTGGAGTGATAAATACATCAAAGCTAAGGGAAAAAACAGGTGAAGATGATAAACATAGTCTTGGTTGGGTTGTTGAAAATTTCAGATACTATCTAAAAAAATAGTTTTTACTGATTTCAACCACTGAGCAACACCAGCTGGAGTAGAGGGCAGTATTTTTATTGGACTTTACATGGTTACGTGACCTAGGCTGTTTTGGGGAAGTAGGAACAGACCCCCCACATAGCATTCTTTCTGGGCTCAGTTTTTAAAAGACTGTAAAATATATTAAAAATGTCTTAACGTCACAGCAACTCACCATTAAGAGTAGCAGTTACCATTGCAGAGCATTGCTACAGAGGGTACTGGTGATGCAGAGCTTCAGAGAGTTAATCCTTATAAAACATGTGAGGCATCGTTCCCCTTGTTTCATATGGAGAAATGAAGCGGCAGAGTTGTTCTATATACGCCCCAGGACGCAGCTAGTAAGGGAGAGCTAGGCTGTGGCGTCAGAGACTTTGTCTCCAGTTAACTATGCGCTCCCGTGCTCTAACGGAGATGTCTCCTGGACCTCCAGGGTCAGTCCTGAGGACAGGCAGCACATTTAACAGGAGAAAACCAAAGGGTTTGGTCTGATGAGGGAGAGTTAGAGGGATGAGGAAAATCAATCACTGCGTAGGGTACTGAATTGGCACACAAGATCGTGAAGCATGGCTAACACATAGCCCCACAGTCCACATACTGACTGCTGCTATATTTCTCCAAAGAACTCAGTGGCTCTCGGTGTTTGGAAGAGCACTAGGAGTGAGCGGACCTTTTGAGACTGGCCCTTAGCTGACTAATGGGACCCAGACAAGTCACTTAATCTAATTTCCACATCCCTAAAAATAGGATGAACATTTGCTCTACTTATCTCATAAGGCTATTGTAAGGACTAATTGAGATAATGTACATGAGGAATAAACATGGTGTCTTTTTTTTCACAAGAAGAGATATCAGAATCTTATGTTCAACTCCTAAGGATGGTATAACTTTCCATAAATACACTGTCCTTATCTGAGGGTAAGACTTCATGTAACAATACTTTTACAAAGTTTACCCAACAGTATAATCAATTAAAAGGCAATTCTGAGTTTAATGTGACTATGATATTGGGGGTAATGAAATGTTAAAAATTTTGGATTTTGAAATTGGTATACAGTAGGTCCCCGGGTTACGTGGGAGACCCGTTCCTATGGCGTGATGTAACGCGATTTTTACCGTAAGCCGGAACTCACCTACATAAGCACCTGCGTCACTCACATGGAGCACATACACAGCAGGAATGAAGTGAAACAGTAAGAAAAATTAAAAGATAATAATTCCTGACCTTTATCTGTGGTAAATAATAAAAAGCAAAGCATATATGTGCATGTTCCGAAATGACAGAACTTTTTTTTTTTTTAAATAAATGGAGAAGGCGACATAACCCGAGAACTGCCTGTATGCTACTTTAAAAGCTGACTCTATCTGCAGAACTTCATGCACAAGCAAACTCTTACACATCAAGTTTGGTTCTTGGAGCCCATGCTGCTGCCCTTTCCTTATGTAACACTGAGGTCAACACACACGCACACAAGCAGGATGACCCAGAAAAGCTTCAATCCCTTTCTCTCTTGCCAGGCTAGTGGGAGAAGGAAAAAACAATGGCCGCACTGAAGAAAAATTAATTTCGGATTTGCTAAGCCTCACAACATGCCCTTTTAGCTATTTTGATGATATAATCTATTTCTCAGCAGTTTGAATTATTCTCCTTATTGGTTACTGATGTCGGATTAGTTCCCATTTCTAATCTGATGGTTATTCTTGGAGAGAGGAAGGATTAGCAGCTGAGCTTACCCGCAACCACAAGCTCCAGGCTGAACGAGTTCTGTCCTGCTCGGTTGGTGGCTATACACGTGTAGATGCCGGCATCTCGCGATGTGACGGGCTCTATGATGAGGGAGTGCACCCCGTTCTCTCGCACAAGCATCTTGTGAGCGCTGTCGGGGCGGACTGGCTTTCCATCTAGTTGCCAGCTTAGATCTGGGGTTGGTAACCCACTGACCTAAACCAGAAAGAAAATGCATGTAAACTTTTCTAAGGTTAAAACAATGAAATCAAGAGCTAAGAAACCATCACAAATTCCTCCCTTGGTAGTACAAAAGATGGCTTTTAGTATCAGCTCAGGTTCTTTTTTGCTTAAAACCTTTCAGTGGCTTCCTAAGCTCTTAGCTAACTTTTAAACATTTCTTATAGAGCAACCTAGAGAAATGGGGACTTAAAAAAAAAAAACTTGTCATCATCTTACCTCACCAAGGGTTATAAAGATTACTGGGATGATGTCAGAGTAGGGCCCTGAGCTCTATGACAAAAAGATGGCCCATCATAATAACTGTAACAAATATTCATCTGCTGTGAAGCTTCTTGTCAAAGAGTTGCTATAGCTGTGGAGACTGTGATGCATCCATCAACAAATAGGGCTATTACTATTATTTGATAATCCTTGAAACTAACAAGAACAATACAAAGTTACCCAGAAAACCATATCGAAAAATTAGCATCACAATGGAAACATCATAAAATCTTGAGACCGTGACAGTTTTATAGACCAGAGATCAGACAAAAGCACATTTAATTGCTAATCACAAGTGCTGTGAAAGGTATGGCTGGCTGCCATCTGTCAACTCTTCACACAGCCTTGCCTACGAATGGGGAGAAAGACACTCCTAAGGAAAGCCTTTCTACCCAGCGCATAGTTACTAGTGGGGAATTACATGCAGAAATAGGTCAGCTGGACTGCAAAACAATTTTTTTTTTTTTGACGGCCCAGCTCTGCCAAAATCAGCCAGAGAACTCATAAATTCTCTTCCTGCTGCGTGATACTCATTTATATTTCCTAAGAGATGCCTCCTCCCCACATGTCACAAAGGTCTAGAGAATTTAAAGGAGAAATATTAAGCACATTTAAATGACTGGTCAAAAGGATGCAGAGATTTGGAAGCAGACAGCAGTAGTTAGGCCCCATGGCTTCTGAGAGGGTCACGCTCTGATGTTCTCCCATCTGTCCACCCCCTGCCCCCAGCTCTCCACAAACACTGCGATCCCTGTCGAAGGCCGCTGGGAGTGGAATGTAGAAAGAGCGAGCGGGTACTTGTGCTCAGGTTCCAGGCCCTTCCCAAGTGTAGAAACCAAATGGCTCCGCTTGTTCCCACTGTGCTCGGTTAGAAGCCAGACAAACAGACCGTGTACCGGAGGAGAGAAGCCGGAAGCACTGTGTACTCTCAGCCCAGCTCCTTCACAGTGCGCCTGTCCAGTGGATGGAGTTGTAGGCAAAATGCTGTATTCAACTACCCCTTTTCTAACCCCAACTTTCTTGGTTGCATAAGTAAAGAAAGCCTGATCTCAGGAATTTAAGGTTATTATAATCAGGTCATAATTTAAATAGATGCTTTCAATCTTTTTATAAGTTTCTACAAGATCTAATTTTTGTACAAAGTGCTTTTCTAGGAGATAGTGGCACATGGGAAAGCTTAAATATATTGATTTACTTTTTGTAAAAACTGCCCAAATCCTTATTATTTGTGCTTTGCAATCCCAAAGAGAACCAGCAGAGGGAGCCTAAATAATGTTTCAAAACCTTATCCATATTTAAGAGATAAATTTTAAATTTAAGATCAATAAGTAATGGAGAAAACAAAAAGTTTTCCAGAGCAGTGGTTTTTAAACATTTTTTGCTTTAGCTCTTTTGAGAAACGGATGGAAGCTTTATCACGCACACGTGTGTGCAATTTCAGAGTTCACACAATGCGATAAAGCCTGGCCTCCCAGAGTTCAGAAGCCCTGCTGTAAATTGGTGAAAGAAGGCTGTCACTCTCATTTCTCTTAGAAATGGCATATGACTGATTAATACATGTATTTCAATGAAATGAGAAAGGATAAACCTCCCAGGGGCTTTCTAGAATATTATACATGGACCCTAAGGAACAAACATATTTACCGAATGTTTAAAAGTGAAGGAAAAGAATTATTCAAAACAGTATATACATATCCCATACGTTTCACTGCTTTTTCTTTCTCTTAAGCTGGAACACATATTAAAGATGTCTATTTTACATAACTTTCCCCCCAAAAAACTAAAGAAAAACGGTAATGAGGGGGAAAGGGAGACGATGGATTTATAGACAACGGCAAACTCTTACTTTGCAGTCCATTCTGCAGAGTTTTCCTTCTTGCACAGTCAGGTTTCCAGGAGCCTGCAGGAAGTGAGGTCTGAAGAACCGCTCCTGGATGGGTTCGTTTTCATCTCCACTGTCCCTGGATCTAGAACGAGGCCTTAGGACAGGACAAATGGTAGACAGCAGTTATTTCCAGGCTCTTGAGCATCTGTTGTTTTTCTTTAAAAATAATACAGGGGTAATAATATAATACCCTTGCCTGATTTCTACCCCCAAGGTTTACATATAAAAATGCCAGCAAAGCAAAATCTTGTTTCATTGAGAAATTTCTTATAAATGTAACAGTCTGCTAACTGCACATCTTATACAATTCTGCTCTCCTAATTTTAAAGCTAGTATAAAAATCATAAAAGGGGAAATTGGAGAAAATGGCATATTTTATATTGTTGTTTTTTTTTTACCTAAATATTTTGAAAGCTTTATGAGAAATAGCAGTATCTGTTGCTCACTTATTTATCAGTAATTCTTTATTTATTCTTTACAGAGAGGGAGAGGGATAGAGAGTTAGAAACACTGATGAGAGAGAAACATCGATCAGCTGCCTCCTGCACACACCCCACTGGGTATGTGCCCACAACTAAGGTACATGCTCTTGACCAGAATCGAACATGGGACTCTTCAGTCCGCAGGCCGATGCTCTATCCACTGAACCAAACTGGTTTCGGCATCACCAATTCTTTTTCAACAGAAATTACTGTAACTTTCCACTTTAGGTACATATCTAATGAAAAGCTATATTTTATCTCTGAAATTTGGCACTGACAATTTGATTTTAAATGTATGGAAAATTAAGTTTATTATTTTATAAAAATTTAATTTCTTTAGAATCAAAAGTCCTTCCCCTATTAACCAGGAAAACAAATTGCATTTTAAGGCAGGTTTTCTTTTATATCAGTTATCCATGTACTGAAGACACTTTTTTTGTTTTGTTTTGTTTCAAATAATGTGCAAATCTCCAAGATCTTGTGCTTCTTTCTTATTTTTAAGTATGTTGCTAGAGACATCTTTGAGAGCAATTCAATTTTAAAGTAAGGGTACGGAAGACTTAAGAAAAGAGCAAGATGTTGAATGCAAATTCTGCCTGTAATAATTAGAAAGTAAATTTAAAAACACTTCACTAGAAAAAGTAAGAGTGGCACAAATGAAAGACTGGTATAATAGGCTAATGATTACCAGCTTTTTAATATAATTTGTTCAAAAATTACATCTGTATTTATAGAGAGTAGAGTGCTTTTTTAGGAGACAAGGTACATGGGAAAGCTTAAATATATTGAAGGCCATAAGGAAAGCAGAAGAAAATAATACAGGAGAATGGATATGCTACTAAATGTGTGTGTGTGCAGCCATAGATACAGGCCCAGGATCCTGTGAACAGATGTTGCCACAAATGAGTTAGATTTGTGTGGGGAGCTGCCCGTGGCAGGTTCCGGCAGATTTGCACATGCTTAGGTGCCCGAGCTGGCCTTTTCAAATGTTGCACAAAGGGCTCAATGGGTCAAATCACAGGAGGCATCACAGACACACCATTTGTTTGGTGTTGACTCGGTTCTTCCTGGTGCCTTCTATGAGCCCAATTTAGTATTTGTTCTTTTCATTAAGGGTGTTTGCATCTGTGGCCCCTAGTTTACTGTCATGCTCCGTCTATAAAATATCTAAATAGGAACCAAGATGACAGACTGGTTGACTTATCATTTTCTTTTCTAAGTGCAAATGTGTTACTACGAGGTAATATCCTTTCCCCAGCCCTGCCTATCACTATCCTTACATAAACTCAGGACTACTAGCAATGAAAGCACCCACTATTGTTAGCAGATATTTATCGTGCATTTAAAATATGAAAAATATCACCTATAAGGTTAGGTCTAAAATAAACTGTTTTGCATGAAGAATCTGAAAAATGAACACTCACAAGTCAGCTGGTTTTAAGAAACCTTAGTGGCAATGATGCATAATGGTCAATCCATACAGCTCTTGGTTTTGAACATCTGTGTAGCATTTGCTGGTATTTTCGTGCCATGTAAAGATATGCTGAGTTCTGCTTTCCTCGTGTATAAAGTGGGCCTTATTTAACACACTAGTGATGGTGTATCTGGCTTAGCACACTTGAGTATGTTCGCTCCCTTCCTCTTTCTGAATTGCTAACTAGTGTAGTCAAGGAGCCATGACTATGTACTCTAAGGTCATATTCACATTCCGTCTCCAATGATGTGACTTTTATGGTCACCATAATTCTAAGAGGGTTGAACTTACAGTAATAAAATAATAGTGACACTCGTGAAAGGAACATCTCAAATACCTTCTGGCATGAGGAAGGCCCGAGGGAGAGCGGGGACTGCGGCCTCTCTGGTTGACAGCCTGCACCATTAGCCGTCCAGTACAGCTGACGCGGCCCTGTGGGAGACAGCAGGGGGAGAAGATAGTCGCTATGCAAAATAACGGTCCATTCTCCTATTCTCCATAGAAAATCCATATGCTATGTTAGTGATGACGCCACTCCCCCTCAGAAATGTGCTTTCCCTGGTTCAGTAAGCTTTACTGTTTATCTAGGATGGTATTTAAAATGACAGCCTCACCGGATTGACTGTGACCTGCTAAGGTCTCCCGAACACAGGAAGCTGAGTTGTAAAACACAGCAGCAGGACACCGACGTCCTGTGAGGATTCCAATTTCACGGACAAGTAGCTACTGGTTGTAGCTAAGTTTGAAATCAAACTACATGGTTTTAGTTTTCTGTAGGATCTTCTCAGTAATATGTTTAATAAATATTAGTAGTATTCCTTCCAAAAACCACATAGTAAAAGAGATGGTAGGATGAGCATTATGAAATAAGTATGCACAGGGATGACAAGGAGAGCATAATGATTATGGTATGCCGTGTTTGCATGTTTGAGATTTGAAGATCAGAATCAGTTAGGCCCTTATCATATGACCCACACATTTTAGGTACATATCTAATGAAAAGCTATATTTTATCTCTGAAATTTGGCACTGACAATTTGATACATGCCGTCATATGGATAGACAAAAGTAATATTAAAAAGGCCCACATGACATAAATAAATCACCCACTGTTACTCTGGCTTTTTGTTTTAACCCTTTCTCCTAAATTTTCCCCTCACTATTACAAGCAGAATAGCAAACTAGATGATTTTTCTCCTCCACTTCCTCGGGTCCCAGGAAAATGAGCAGATGTACTTATAAATTCAGATAACGGCCAAAAGGGAACAGCAAGGAAGGAAAAATGAGAAGCCGATTTATTATGGATTAGACTAGGCCAGTGGTCGGCAAACTCATTCATCAACAGAGCCAAATATCAACAGTACAATGATTGAAATTTCTTTTGAGAGCCAAATTTTTTAAACTTGAACTTCTTCTAACGAGTTCTTCTTTAAAATAGACTCGCCCAGGCTGTGGTATTTTGTGGAAGAGCCACTCTCAAGGGGCCAAAGAGCTGCATGTGGCTTGCTAGCCGCAGTTTACCGACCACGGGATTAAGGAATTCTCTCTCAAAGTTGAAGAGTAGCCCCCATGTACGTTTATAGTCAAAATTTACTACTGACTCCTGTTTTCATTCCAAGTTGCCAATATAGACAGGTTGCAGAAGCAAGGGGTGCTCGGTATGGTCTGAAGAACTGCTTTCCGAGTTCTCCCTGAGAGTGGACTGGGATGAGGGTGAGGACATGGTAGAGGGAACACAGGCAAGAACCCATAACAGGGTGTAGGAAGAGGCAGGGACCCAGATCTATCCAGAGCCAGGACTTCTTGAGGGACGTTACCACTCAGAAAAGGCAGAGAGGTGTAATGTGGACAAGAGGAATGTAATACAGACAGGAGAAGAATCAGGAATCACCCAATAGAATGAGGTGGCCATATGAAGCACTCTCAGGTAGTCTTTTTCTATTGGACATGTAAATTCCTCTAGCATTCACAATATTTGCTGTCAAGGTCACAGTTAAAACATGACTTTTCCTGAAAATTTCCAGGGACACGTGAAGTATAACATTATGAAGAGGAATTATTTCTAACTTAGGTTAATTGTAGCTGAAGTTCAGGCCGCATCATATAAATTCTCCTGTGCTGAGTTCTTGGCAAGCACTTGATTCCCTAAGCTAGCTTGAAATCTGAAAATTAATTTCATCTAACCCTTCCAAATCTATACCTGCCGTAGAAATCTTAATGTGACTTGCTTAGATACCCATTATAAACTACCGTCTGACGCATCATGCTAGGTACTTTAACAGATAACATGTAAGAGCCGTGATTGTTTTTGGAGCCTGAGGACAAGATAGTATGTGGTTTGTTCTACACAAATACCTTAAACTGTACTGACATATGGGATATGGCTTCCTTGTTTGCTTTGCTGCTTACAAATAATTTTAATTTGGATAGATTAAAATAAATTTGTATAATCTGGATAGATTTTTCTCCCTTGTGTTTTAAAACCCAGAGTATCCACAAGGGAAGTTAATGTTAACGAATCATTTATGTAAGTTAGGGGGAGAAAAATCCTCTAGCCTAGATTTGAGTCTTGGCTTTCTTAAAACTTTGAGCAAATCACTGATTTTATTTAAGCCTTTATTTCTTCTTCTGTAAAAACTTGGGGTCTAGCTGATAAGGATCTTGTAAAGATTAATGATATACCCAAAGATGATACTGTAAATATCAAATGGTACAGTAATCCACCCTTTTCCACCAGGAATACATAAAAAGATCCCCAATAGATAGTACCAAACTCTATATATACTGTGTTTTTCCCCCCCTATATATATATACCTATGATAGAGTTTAATTTATAAATTAGGACTAGTAAGAGTTTAACAATTATAATATACTATAATAAAAGTTATATGAATGTAGTTTCATAGTCTCAGAATATCTTGTATGTACAAAGTGAATATGCTGGACAAAGGATGACTCATGTCCTGGTAGGGCAGAGTGGGACATCACACTACTCAGCTTATGAATTGTTTATTTCTGGAATTTCTCATTTAATATTTTTGGACCACAAAAAATGAAACTGTGGATAAAGGGAACTACTGTACCTGATGTCATAAATGATCATTAAATTCGCCATTGCGGTATTGTGTCACTAAGCACCTGAGATATTATATGTGCATGGACAAGGTGATTTTTAGGGGCCCAGCAGCTTGGCTGACTCCAATCTAATCTTCCAAGTGGATATACTTTAAGGTATGCTGTTACCTCCTACTTATGGATTCTTTCAAATACCCCTTCTCACCAGTGCTTCCCCTGCTCCTCAGTGTGGGCTGAGCCTGGCATCTTTGTAGGACACTCCCTAGCTCTGGAGTCCATCTGGGTGTGTGAACCAGTTTTGTGCTTTATTGTTGAGTGACTTGAGGCAGGTAACTTAACCTTATCTGTAAAATAGAACCATTTAGCTAATCCCTCATGGGTTCTTATGAAGATTACTTTGGAACTGTGTTTTACATGTACTCAATACTCTAATGTTGAATATAGATATAATAATAACAACCAGATGGATATGAGGCATCCCTTAGAATTGTTTTGTTAAGTACAATGTTTTCTCCATGTAATGGAGTTCTCTCTCTCTCTCTCTCTCTCACACACATTAGGATGTAATTTACTCCAAAGGAAAAAACAACAACAAAATACTCTTAGTAGAGGGGACAGAATATGTGGAGAGGGGATCAACTTTTTTAACTTTTGCTGGTGCTTGAAAAGTGCCACACACACAGGAAGATTCAGGTGTTGGTTTATGTGAGGGCTGCATTTGAGGTAGGAGATGAAAGAAAGATCCTATTTCACTCTAAGCACTTGACAAGGCTTAGGGTAAGCTCTCCCTCCTGCCCTCCCAAAAGAAAAAAAGAAAAAAGGGTAAACAGGGTGGCTTCCTACTCTAAACATTACAGTTCTACAATGTTTTCACTGCTACCTCTTAGAACCATGTACATAACTACTGCCACAGATATTTCCTTAATCTCCCAAATTTAAGAAAAAGGAACGTTACCTTTTTACTTGTACATCATTCTTCACTTCTGAACATTAAGGAGAAAGGTTTGGTCTTTGGGGGGCAGACTTAGTTTGATAATACAGTATTGGTTAACTACAGTGTGGGCCAAATGTAGGTTTACAGTTGTGAGTACATAAAAGTTTATTGTATTATTATTTATTAATCATTGTATTATTTTCCCTATGAACAACTGTAAACCTTTCTTTGCCACCACCCTGTATATTGTTAATAAGTAACCAGGAACATTTAATGAACATATTTTGACATTTGAAAGAAAAAAAAATCCAGAATTCAGTGAAGCACTTTTGAAAAGATGCCTCTAGTGTGCACAATAGAAAGTGCAGGTTTTTAAGTCTGAAAGTTTTATTTATGAAGATCATACAACATTAGCATTAGGTAATTTCAATCATACCAATGTGCCAATTAACCCTAGTAATCATCACAATTAGAAGGCTCTACTGCACATTAATGCCACTCCATTTGCTGTTAACTTTCTCATTTCTTTCTGCTTTATTAACATATGAAGTAATAATGGAAGTGAATATTTATAGTGAAGATGGAAATGATTCAAGCAACCTTTAATGCTAAAACAAAACACAATCAACAAACTATCTTTCTAAATTTAACTCAGCTGTGTGTTCATTTTCTATTCCAAACAAATCCACAGTACAAGTAATAAGTTTGAATTCTTAAAGGGATTCTGTATTAAACATCTAACTTGTAAAAATTATTTGATGCCTCATGCATGCAAGGCCAATTATTTATATAATATGCAAATAACATTTATATTTCCTTGTTTGTGAAATGTAACTTGTGGCACACAGATCTTCATAAAAGCCTGCCACTTGTATACATAATGCAATTTGAGGAAACATCAAACTGCAAAACAGCCATTACAATCCAAGTGCGATAGAGTAACCTAGCAACACAACAAAACAAAGTCAAACATGCGTGTTTAGATTTAGTTGTGTCTTAAATAGAGGATTACTGTCTAAAGTAAATTGTATTTGTGATCCTCATTTTGGCATTATGCTTGGTGCAGCACTGCACACTCACTCACTCCACTGAGCTACGGGGCCTCTAGGAACTGCCTGAGCGGCACACACCGCGTATGATACGCAGTCTAGTGTACGGTTAGGGCTCAGAATTGGATGTAGTCAGCAATACCTAATGCATTTCTTATTCCCCAGAGATTAACCCAGGTGGAAAAATATTCTATAAAACATTCTGCTGTACTTTCTCTCTTGGCCACTTTCTGTAATTATGTCCCACTGCTCAGGAAAGCTCTGCCGTCTGTGCTCCATTATGAACCAGTTTTTCCACTCCAGCCTTTTTCTCCCTCCCTTGGTCATTTCACACCATGTGGGCTACAGTGTACCAGGAAAAATAGGTGTAGTTGTCTCCCTTTCAAACCCAAATACTTTTAAAATGGTAAACAATTTCATATAACCACAGGGCGTCAAGAAAACAGGGAGTGAACTTCAGTTTTCTGTTGACTACATGCTATGCTTTTGGGATTAATATGTACCTCGAAAAATTTAGTTTTTTCTTTTGATTTTTTTTTCAACGCCTACTGTGTCATGCTTCTTTTAAATCATGGTTTAATTCACAAATTATAAGAATGGCAAAATACTTTAGCAGTATCATAATCGCAACTTTATAACATCTGTTATTGTATACTAAACATTTCTATTACAGTATTTCTAAAGCAACAAATAACTATGCCAAGGGTTAGGTAGAAAAATGGTCTGCCACTTGCGCCGGCCTGCAGACCAAAGAGTTCTGGGTTCGATTCTGGTTAAGTGCACACATCTTGGTTGCTGACTCCTCCCTGGCCTGGGCCTTGGTCAGGGCTTGTGCAGGAGGCAACCTATGGTTGTGTTTCTCTCTGTCTTTCCCTCTTTCTTCCACTCTCCCTAAAAATCAATGGGAAAATATCCTCAGTGAGGATTAAACAAAAAATACTTGTGCTTGGTTTTTCTAATGGGTAGTGAAGTTAATTAGGTGACAACTCCCAAAACCTACACCTGTCATATTTGGACCTACCTGCTACTGAAATCCTCAAGATAGAGGAGTTGGTAACATACTCAGAAACTTGGAATAGCAACTGACTACTACCACGTGCTATAAATATTCTCACAACGATTGCACCTTTAGGCATAAATACCCACTTTTATGGGATCTCCTCAGATTCTCTTCCTGAGTTTGCCCTCCTATGCCTGCCTTTGGTCATTTAGATAGGAAAAGAGATTTTTAGCCTCCACTGGTCCAATCCACTAACTATTAGGAACTGCTTTGGTGGCTGACACTGGGGTTTTTTGACTCTTCTCCCTGAGAGCAGTCAGTCATATTACCATTTGCTTAATCACAGGAAACCTGTGGCTACCTGCTGTAAATGGGTCCACTTCTTTATGTTCTCATTAAAGGGGAGTCTAGCCAAAACACCAGTGAGGGTTAAACGGGGCTCCTCCTGTACCCAGCAGAGCAGCAGAGCTCTCTGCAGCCAGAATGAGGGCAGCGAGGCTCTCTTTGGGCCTTCCCTTGGCCCTGAGCATGCTGGGAGCTGAGAGCAGCTGCTGCCTTCCTGTGTGGCCCCAGTCAGCTGTGCCGTGGGCGTGGCTGTGCTCTAGCTCAGGGCTCCCTCCCCCTCCACCAAAGCCCATAGCTGTGGCAGAGCCATGGCTGCTGCCTTACTCCTTTCCCATGGGGGTGGTAAAAAGGGAGAGCCAGGAGGTCAGAAGACCACACATCAGCAACATTTTGGGTAGAAATCCTATCCCAAACGGACGTGTTGACTCTCTGATGACTGTGGGAGCAGGACACCCAGAAACAGACAGACTGACCCTTTATATCCTGGTTCCTTAAGCTTCTGCCACCTCTTTGAGCTGATTCTCTAAGACAGGGTTATTGGTGTCTTTGAATTAAAATGACAATAATTAGCATTTACTGAAAGCAAAATATGTACCAGGTAAACTGAGTGCTTTACCTGCATTATTGAGACCAATCCATACATATAAAAACCTAAATGACCAAACAACCGGTCGCTATGATGTGCACTGACCGCCAGAGGGAAGACACTCAATGCAGGAGCTGCCCCCTGGTGGTCAGTGCACTCCCACACAGGGAGCACCGCTCAGCTGACTGAGGGCGCCAGAGGCTGGGCTCACAGCTGGCAAGCACAGCTGCAGTGGTGTGAACCTCTCCCAGCTCCCTGGCCCCCTGCTGCTTCACACACTACTACATCCCGTGGGGGATAGTGGACTGCTGGTTTTGGCTGAAACCGATCCCTACAGGGATGGGGCCAAAACCGGCAGCCCAACATCCCCCAAGGGGTCCCGGATTGCAAGAGGACGCAGACTAGGCTGAGGGACCCCACCAGTGCACGAAATCTGTACACACTGAGCCTCTAGTATTTTATAATTTCATAGAAGAGGAACAGAGAGGCTAAGTGAATTGCTGAAGGTCACACAGGTCAGGAATGGTAGAGCTAGAACTCCAACTCAGGTCTGGTTGCTGCTAAAGTTCATGCTTTTAACCACTGAACTATATAGCCTCCGGGCCCGTGGTTGGCAAACTGTGGCTAGTGAGCCACATGCAGCATTTTGGCTCCTTGAGTGTGGCTCTTCCACAAAATACCATGGCCTGGGTGAGTCTATTTTGAAGAAGTTTTAAGTTAAAAAAAATTAGGCTCTCAAAAGAAATTTCAATCGTTGTACTGTTGATATTTGGCTCTGTGGACTAATGAGTTTGCCGACCACTGCCGTAGCCTTTTCAGAACCTTCTTGTGGTTTCTGTCCATTTCTCCTTTTCTTTGTTTCCAAGGGGAATTAGTCTTTAGCAGCCCTCTTTTATCTCGTGACCCATCATAGTTTAAATGCTCCGAGACCCTTGAAGCGGGGTTCTGTCTTCATACTTTCATGGGAGACCTTCCCTTTTATAACTTCTTTACATATGAAAATTCATTAGTATAATTTGAAAAAGACTAGAAGTAGACTCATAATCAAAAGTTTTAAACTGCTTACTCCAGTAACAGTTTAACACGTTTGCCAGGGAAATATGCTTGGAAATCCTTAGCAGGATCCCAGTACTGATATGTTTAAGAGACATGGTTAATTCTACCTCCATAATATATGCCAGCCTTTCTAGGGGAAAGAGGAATAAAGAACCCAACAGAAAGTAATATTTTAGATTTTTGTTGACTTCTCTACTTTTAAGTAGGCAGAGAACTAAAAATTGAAATTTGTTAATAATCAAGGAAACATAGTTTCCACCCCCCCCCCCCCAAATACACGACAAGTAAGCACAAATAAACATTAACATGTAGCTTTTCAGTAAAGGTTGTGATTTTGACTAGTTTTCAAGGTGATGGCCATGTATTCATTGATTGAAACATTAGAACCTTGAGAAAGGGAACTAATGTGAAAAACGTCCACTGATGGAAGAGTTTGCTGTGCTCTGTCAAACCTAATTGGTAAATGATTTGAGGTTCATTCTAATCTTAGTATTACTCTATAGAGATATATCTTTATACAACAACATGATATTAGGATAGGAGGACACTGAATGAACTTAAACATCTGTAAAATTAGCTAAAATTAGCTATCATTTTCTGACACTTAATATTTCCTTAAAAAGAAATATGGTATGATAGGAATGTTAAATGATTTCAGAACTCCTGAAAAAGTAATTTTAGTTTTTTTTTTTAAAGGCATATTTACATGACTTCTGCTGACTTTGTAAAAATATCATGTCACACAGTTAGTTCTTAATGTACAAAGTAACTTCTTAATCATTTTTGTGTCCTCAGCATGGTGCCTAAAATATATAAGATATTTCAATAAAAAAGAATTTGCAGTTTTGGAATGATAACCTGATACCCAGGTAGCTACCTATTAAATTCCTTGATCCTAAATCAAAGAGCAAAAACAAGAGAAAACAATTGGATGGAAACAAAAAGTCCTAAATGCTATAGTAGTCCCCGCCTACCTGAGAGGAGCCCTTCCCAGACCCCCAGAGGATACCAGAAACCACGGTTACTACAACGCTGTGTATACTCTGCTTTTCCTCTACACACACACCTATGGTTACATTTAATTTACAAATGAGGCACAGTAAGCAATTAGCAACAATAATAGAATAATTTTATAATATACTATAATAAAAGTTACGTGAATGTGATTTCTTCTAAAAAAATCTCATTGTGCTAGACAAAGGGGTGATTCATGTCCCAGGCGGGACAGCATAAGATTTCATCATACTGTTTAGAAAGGCGTGAAATTTAAAGTTTATGAATTATTTCTGGAATTTTCCATTTAATATTTTTGGACTGCATTGACCACCAGTAACCGAACTTGCAGATTAGAGGGGACTCCTATATATGGGCACTATCAGAATTATGATTTACACTTATACATATTTTAAATTCCATTTGATTTAAGTGTGGGTATATATCTTTTAAATACTGTACTTTGTTTTTTATTTTAGCATAATACAACTCATCCTTTTCTCCTTTTTTTTTTTTAACTTCATAGACTAAATCCTATCTGAACTGATATATGATTTCTATTTTTTAATTTATTTTGTTTACTGATTCAGGACTCTGTCTTGCCCATCACCTATATCATTGGTGTACATATGAGGCCCTTGGTAGTATTTGTGGAAAGAAGGCACATCTGTGCCAGAATTACTCATATAGAAAAAACCCTTTTTGGAATAAATAAATACTCATTTTTAAAAAAGAAATTTTCTACCCCTCCAAACAGAGATAGTGTAAAAATTGAGAAGATAGTTTCAAATCAAAGAATATTCCATCTTTTAATCAAACAGTTCCTCTGTTCAAATAAATGTCTATAAGCATTAGACAGCTGACCCTTGAATACATGGTGGTTAGGGATGCTGACCCCCTCCCGCATTTGAAAATCTCCGTATAACTGTTGATTAGAAACCTTATTGATAATATAAACAGTCAATTAACACTTGTTTTGTGTTATCTGTATTATATACTGTATTCTTAAATATAGTAAGCCAGAGAAAAGAACATGTTATTAAGAAATCATAAGAAAGAGAAAATACATTTATTGCAATTACTGAAAACCAACAACAAACACACATATAAGTGGATCTGTGCAGTCCAAACCTGCGTTATTCAAAGGTCAGCTACACACAGAACTGAAGCAAGACCTCTATATACCCTTCCTTACCTGAGGGTTTGCAGCCATAATGGTGTAGTTCCCATCATCATCTAGGGTGGAGGCTGTGGTGTAGAGAGAGCATGTCCCATCAAGATCTCTTTGAATGATGTAGTGGTCATTCTTGGGAGAGATCTGCTTTCCATCTTTAAACCAGTAGATCTGTGAAAAGAAACAAGATTAAAAATTAAGGGTGTGTGTAGTACTGCGTTTGGGGGACTGATAAATAATTGTGTAGTCTGCAGAGCTGATCTGAGTTTTCACTTTCAAATGCTAATCGGAACATAGACAAATAAATTTTAAATGAAAAGAGTAGATAACAAGCAAATCTAATGATATTTTAGTTTTAAAAAATCATATGTCTTCCTTTTACTTTAAAAAATCCATATGTAAGTAGGCCTTTGCAGCCATATATTATTTTTCTTTTTGATCCCTTCTAATTGCAAATGTACTCAATTAGAAGGTAGTACTTGTACAGTGAAGGTGAAAAGGTTATTTTAGAGAATACAAACAGACCCCAAACGTTAATCATTCCACTGAACCATGTTAGACACTAAAATGGTGAGGAGGAGGGAGGCAAGAGTTCAGGGCTGGTGGCAGGTGGAACACTACTACTTTAATTCCAGTTCAGGAGCAAAGTTTGACAGCTCTTCCAGCTATGTTAAAAGAAAACACAATAGTATTAAAATGTAATAATTTTCAAATAATAATTTAACGGGTTGGTAGAAAATTAAATGTAAGAAATAAAGTAAAAATGTAAGAAATAAAGTAAAAATGAATCTCGGTGAAATAAAAAACATTTAAATGGCCATATATCTTCTGTAGAGCCTCCTTCCTTCTTTCACTGGTCAATGGATAGCTCATGATTTTTTATTATTTCTGAACTACACAGTTGAAAGACAGCCCTAATATGACTGAAATGCTACACTAATGCTTACCCTCCTCCAGACTAACTGGTAGGGAAGGAAATAAATCACTCTGATTTTAAGCTACAATAAGTTCTTTGTTGCCAGTTTTGTTCCTTGCAACCAAAAGCATTCCTCAGTTTTTAATGCCACATTGGCATTCAAATTCAACTCCCTGTCAGAGCCTTTGAAAAATCTTTTTGAAATGTCCATTTCACAACATAGAAAAGGCCTGAAACATATAGCCCTAAATAAGTGCGTGAATAATCAGGGTCTGATTGCTATAACTTTTCCAACCTCTTATTTTTCAATAGCTCCAAATTTACAGAACTGTATTTTTAGTCTCTAGAACCTAAAAATCAACTAGACCAGTGGTCAACAACCTGCGGCTCACGAGTCGAGGCTTGCCACTCTGTTGACTAATGAGTTTGCTGACCACTGCCTTAGGGAAGAACACTTAAACATTTTAATAATGTACTAATGTCTTTAACCCGAAGTCAAAACTTCTGGGTAAGGGTAATGCCTTACGCAGTGGTTGGCAAACTCATTAGTCAACAGAGATGCAGTTTGCCGACCATTGAACTATTATAGACTAATAACTTTTAGTTCTAAAAAATTAAACTATACAAAGCATTATACTTCCATGATTGCTGATGGGACAGAGAAGCTTCTTCAGAGTCATTTCCTTAATCGTATTTTTCATTTCCATTATATTTGGAATACAACTTTCAAATGAAATTTAAGAAACAACTCCAAAATTTTACCAAGACTAGTAAAGTCTAATTTAGTCTTCTCATGTCTCAGAACAAGCATGTCAAGGGCATAATACAATCTTAAAACATAATGAATGTTCCATGCTTTAATCATCTTAATATAATTTATGTATATATCATGCAGAAAAAAAAAAGCAATTCTTCAATAAACCAGGGAAGGAAGAAAAAGAATGTCAATGAGTAAAGGAGAGAGGAAAAAAGAAAAAGGAAGGATAAAGAAGAAAATCTAATTGAAAGTTCTAAAAGAAAAATTCAAGCCTCTTAAAGTAGAGAAATATTTAAATTTGTACTAGAAAAAACACAGTTCTGTTACTTACAATAGCCCATCTTCAAGTTGAACATAATATCCTTTAAGGATAGGAATCAGTAACCTTAGAACTACATCAGTGACCTTAAGCACCAAGTAATGTTTAACATAGGATCTTTTATGAATATTATGGAAGTTCAAGATATAATTTCTTACTCAGTTTCATTCATAAACTGCCAGTTTATTTTTAATGCATGTATTTGGCATCATGTTTGTGAATACACAGCAATTACCAGTTTTCTCTAGTAACAGTTTATTTAGAAGTCTCTTTTTATTAGGGGTGGATATGGGTTTGAAAATTTAAGCCCCCCCCCCCCATGTTTCTCTGACTATGGGCTTGGAACTTGGTTTTAGGAAAAGAATATGATGGTAAAACTTACCTCATTTAGAAAATTAAACAACAGTTTGGAGCATTAACACACAGAAGTTTCAGGTATTTTCATATCACTTTCCCCTCTTCCATTCAACTGATTCTCATTTCAGCTCTTTCACACCCCTGGTGAGCTTTTAATTTCACTGAGTGTATTTTTCATTTCTGTGTGCTTACTTTACACATTTGCCTTGTCTTTAGTATTGTACTGTTCTTTCTTCAGCTTTCTATTCCTTTAAAAATTGCTTCAATCATTTTGAACAGTTATTTTATAGTTTCAAGATTATTCCATATAATGTGATTGATTTGTTTTCCTGTTTATTTCCTCAGATGGGTTTGAAAGTTTTTACTAGGAACTCATTTTTTTCTCCCTCCCTCCCTATAGAAGTGTGCTATGCCCCAAACTGTCCTATGGAACAAGATAACTTTTGCTTGCTTCACCAGAAACCTAAAGATTTTAATTATCCTGGACTCATTTCTCAGCTTTTTGCTCCATATCATGTGATAGCGTAAATTTGAAGTTTCAGTTTCTCATGGGTGTGTGTGTTTTTTTTTAATTCTCTCAAGTTCTAGGGAAAAGTGTTATTCTGTTACTGCTTTGCTGGGCTACTAAGCAGTTAAATCTCATCTTCCTTTTAAAGACAATGCAATTCTCTATCTGCATTTCTACATTTCTGTGGGGAGCGGTCCTGGTCAGGTCAGCCCAGTACCGGATGTTCCTTTGATTACCCTTTCTCAGCAGTATTCCCTCCCCCTTTGTAAATATAGGACGTTTTGGTTTTAGAATTAGCGGTAAGCACACTTTGCTGTATGGTACTGTGCACGGGGCTCATGTTCAAGCCTGGCCACCAGCTCTCTGCCTTGGGGAAGTTAACCAGCCTCACTGAGCTCAGTTTAGTCATTTGTAGTTCGGGAGTAGCAATGATGACATCACATGAGTAAATGATGTAGGTGTATGAAAAGCTCTCTGTCAGTTATTCAATTCTATTTTTCTAACACAAACTGTACCCCAGTTCCACTCTTATTGATGGCCAATGCTTCCTGAAGTTGGCTCTGAACTTACAGTACTTTAGGCATTTTACATCATGGGTATTGAGAAAGGTGGTCTGGATCTCTCTCTTCTACCATACATACTGTAATTTGGAAGCCAAACTCGACCTCAGAAAATATAACCCCTAAAAAGCCATGGTTTCAGCTCACCTTTGGCTTTGGATTCCCAGTCACCCTGCATGTGAAAGTTACGGGCATTCCCTCGTAGATCTTGTAATGTTTCAGCTTCATCTCGAAGCATGGTGCCACTCCGTTTTCCACAGGCACATCCCCATAGTGGACTTCATCGCCTGAATCATCCACAGGAGACCTTTCCAGCCTGTACTCGATTTCACTGATGAGTCTCTGCTCACAGCTGGAGACTTTGTATTCCTGGATCAAACAGAGCAAGATCTTGTTAACAACCTCAGTCCCTCGTGGTACATTGCGTCCCGAGCCTCATCCCCTCTCCAATGAAGGCTTAGAAGACACTGGTATTTTTACCACAGAGCCTACAATCGGGTCTGAGCCCACTTGAGTTGCATATGAAACAGAAAATATCTGGAAATAAGGGTATATGATTTCAAAATTATCTTCATCCAAAAAAACAAAGTACAAAACTATGAAGATGAATTTCTCTTTTCTTTGGGGCTAGAGGGACAGACAGGGAGAAAGGCAATGGGCTAAATTGTTCATAAAAAATAAGGCATGATCTCTCTGTGGGGAACGCTGATGCGGGAGGTGCACTCCTCCAGCAGGGCAACACCAGCCCGCGTGGCCGGCAGCTGCAGCCCTGCGTCAAACCGACCACGGGAAAGTGGCACCATGGTTTTCTTTCTCACTCAAAACAGTCTGCAGCCACAGAGCCTCTGAACTCCCTGGGCTCTGCAGCTATTAGGAACTGTTTTCCACTCTCTCTAGACTGTCAATCCTATGTTTCTTTTAATTAAGCGTTGGCTGCAAAAGCAAAAGCCCCCATCATCCTCCTGCAGTGACTAAGGTGGGGGCTGCAGTTGCTGGCTTACAAAGTACAAAGACGATAAGGCAGCCCGTTATATTTTCTCAATTGTTTGAACTAGGTTTTCTCTGAGAGAAGTTACTCAACCTTTAAAAAACAGTTCATTGGCCGGAGAGAAGAAACACTGTGAATAAAACTGCAAAAAATACACAAGTTGCCCAGCCGGCTTGGCTCGGGTTGAACGTCGGCCTGTGAACCAGGAGATCTTGATTCGATTTCCGGTGAGGGCACATGCCTGGGTTGCAGGCTTGATCCCCAGTAGGGGGCATATAGGAGGCAGCTGATCAATGATTCTGTCTCATCATTGATGTTTTTATCTCTTTCTCCTTTTCCTTTCCTCTCTGAAATCAATAAAAATTATTTAAAAAAAATACTCAAGTTGTTTTGTTTAATTACTATCAGATTAATCTATTTAAAAATTAGCACTTTTTCCTAGAAAGGCTTAACAATGAGAAACTTTTCACAATTTAAAATTCAGAGTATCCACTAATGACAGTCAAATTCAAGTCTGTAATAAATGACAAGAAAAAAAAATTGCACTAATTTTGTTCATCTGGCATTAATGAAAATAGACACTCATAGTATTTATGATTTAGACATGGCAGCAAACAAGGAAGCACACAAACTAGACAGAGTGAAAGACTGGAAAGAGGAGAAAGGTGAAAAGCTTAACCTTTTGACCATCCAGAGGACTCCCTACAGAAGCATGAGGAGACCCAATTTCCTGTAATGGCAGAAAAGAAGAAGTGAAGACTAATAATAGAAATAATAACCTAGCAAGAGTTTTAGTTGTTGTTTTTTAAGGAAGATTTTCGCTGTAGCTATAGTTAACACAGGAAAACCTTTCGGATTCATTTCTATACAGACACAAGAGTTTACTTGATTTTTAAAACTTTCTTTAATATGGAGACTACATCTGGAAACAGAAGCAGTGGAGATGAAAAACAATGGCTTATATCAAATGACTTTTTTTGGTGGTAACAGGAAAACATTTTAGGTTTTCTGTTGATTAGTGATTTTATAAAATATAGTTTTTCTGTACGTAAATATTTTACTTTGACTTGATATTAAAAATGTAATTGAAAATAGTCACTAGATGTTTCAAACAATATCAAGAAAATAAGTTACTCTCCACATAAAATTATTTTGCATGAAAGCACAGCACAGGTCAGGAAAAACAGAAAGATACTTGAAAGGAAAAGAAACTGATCAATAAGAAGGTAAAAAAGAACAGATTTCACTGACTGAAATAATTCTATGCATCATTTAACACAAAGGCTGCCATATAGTATGTGCTCAGTAAATACAAATAAAATAATGCTTTTCTTTGACCTGCCCTGTACTTTCCACAGAGTCAATCCCAAGAATAGTGTCCATAAAGACTAGGGTGAGAGGAGACACACTCATTGTCAGTTTTCTAAGAAGTCCAGAGGAACACGGTACCTGATGTGCTGTTTCCTCTTCTGGCTCCTGAATGTTAAAGACAGTTGCACTATCAGCACCTAGTAATCGACGGGCCATTCTTTCCTCATATGTTAATTTCTAAACAGAGTAAATCACAAAAAAATACATTAGAAAAATCACAGTTGTATATCACCTCATGAAAAAGAATGAAAACCCCCAAACAAGCGAGGTTTGCTGTTTTCTGTAACTAAATCTCCACCGGCAGATACCTGTGTATAAAAGGGATGTTTCCCCCCTGGCTTCAGTTGTCCTGACTTTCACAATCCCCTCTCCCTTCTGGTCCTAGTGGCCTAATCCAGTGTTGGGACATGGGCTGAATGCTCTTTCAAGCCACCGACTGACTGAACACAAATTCATGAAGAGTAAAATAAGCAACAGGGCAGAAATCACACAGAAAATGTGTATCCCAAACTTATTCTTAAGGATAAACATTGAGGCTAGCTGGCAGTGATAGGGGTCTCACCTCTAAGAGCATTTTTCTAGGTTGCTGTGTATCATAGGGGAATGGAGGCAAACAGAATAATCTACAAAGAGTGACTGCACATGGCCGAGTTAGCAAACAGACGATGAAAGATACTTTCTAATTCTAACACCCACAGTTCATGATTCTACTCAGAGAAGAATTGCTTGCCTACCAAGAAATGAAAGTGGTCATGTTTTTGCACCTAACCACCAGCACTTTTGGATTGGCCAAAACCATTTTTGCTAGGACTAAAGAAATGCCAACATTTTTATTCTGTATATTGGGCTGATTCCTGCTCTTGAGTGGTGATTTGAAAATGTCTTTGCATTGCAGGACTGGGATGAAATGTAAGAGACTACCGTATTTTCCGGCGTATAAGACGACCCCCTAATTTTACAGTTAAAACATAGGTTTAGACCTATATTCGCTGTATAAGACTACCCCCCACTTCTGAGGCAACACCGGTTCTTTTTTTTAAAAGACCGCCTCTCTGACTCTGGCCAATCCAAGCAGGCTTTTTATGCATGCAAATTATACATGTTCTGTACCCGAAGTTACACTGTGTTCTAATAAAAAGCCTGCTCAGATTGGCCAGAGTCAGAGAGGCGGTCTATTAAAAAAGGAACTGGTGTTGCCACGGAAGTGGGGGGTAGTCTTATACAGCAAATATAGGCCCAAACCTATGTCTTAACTGTAAAATTAGGGGGTCGTCTTATACGCTGGAAAATACGGTATTTCCCCATCAGGGGCATTTTATAAACAACTATTTGACTGAAAGAATAATTAGTAAGGCAGGATCTAAAATATAGTACAGAAGTTATTTTACATAAACTTCTAAACTTCTGAATATGGATACAAATTCTATTGGAAACTTTCTAAATCCCAAAAATATGTGGGACAAATTTATGATTTCCAGTAATCGCTGGTTTCATGCCCAACTGAAGCCGGGAATTGAAACAAATCAAGTGCCAGATGACAAGCAGCCCTGAAGTTCAAATTATTTCACTTAACAAGAAGGGCAGAGGACAAGAAGAGGCGGAGCTATGTGTTTGGTGTATGGGGTGTCTCAGTTTAGTATGTCACTATATAAATTTTCTGTTTCTTTAAAAAATATTTTTATTGATTTCAGAGAGGAGGGAAAGGGAGAAAGAAACGTCAATGATAGCCGAAACTGGTTTGGCTCAGTGGTAGAACGTCGGCCTGGGGGCTGAAAGGTCCCGGGTTCGATTCCGGTCAAGGGCATGTACCTTGGTTGCAGGCACATCCCCAGTAGGAGGTGCGCAAAAGGCAGCTGATCGATGTTTCTCTCTCATCGATGTTTCCAGCTTTCTATCCCTCTCTCTTCCTCTTTGTAAAAACTCAATAAAATATATTAAAAGAAAGAAAGAAACGTCAATGATGAGAATCATTGATTGGATGCCTCCTGCATGCCCCCTACTGGGGATCGAGCCCACAACCAAGGCATATGCCCTAGACTGGAATCAAACCTGGGACCCTTCAGTCCCCAGGCCGACGCTCTATCCATTGAGCCAAACCAGCCAGGGCTATTTTCTCATGTTTCTAAAAAAATAAATAAAAATCAATGAATTCTGCTCCTTTAAAAGTCTCCCTAAAGTTTCATGGAGAACTGCATCGACAGCAGATAGAGGACTGGAATAAGTCCCACTCTGTTCCTCATAAGCAGAGACATCAATTTGACACAGTCCTTTACTGAATGCACCTGCATCAGTAGAAGCCCACTTTGCTCCACAGTCTTGTTTCTAAACACTGTGCCATGCAGATACACAGCCCTATCTTTGGAAGCCAAAAAGAAGTAACAATATGTAACCTTAGGGAAAAGTTGCTTGAGGGTCTTATTTTCTAAAAGGGGAAGCCTTACTTTTCTTGTCCTTTTAACTCTCCAGTATGGAAATCTATGGCCCTTATTGTGATGTCATTCACTGGGAAATATACATATATATGAAATATAAAAATACTATATACATATAATATACATAGTATGCTATAATATCTTATAGAAGTCTTACTTTAACTAGAGAATTTTAGTCCATAAAGAATATTTAAACAGCAAAAAAAAAAAAAAAAAAAAAAAAAAAAACAGAATCAGGAGAGGTGCCATTCCTTACCTGGCCTGAAAAAGTTCCCATAAGCACTTGTTTTAACCTTTCAGAGGCTTCCATTGAGTCAGAGAAAATGTCCTGAGTATGTGCAGGGACATACGCAACCATTAAAGGGAGAAACATTTCCCTTTGTAAAAGTCTGTTCTCAATGAGATGAATAACTAACACAAGATCTCATGAGAATTTTAGTCTTCCTGAACTCAGATCAGGATGCCCTAAGAATTAAAATTAGCATTCAAAACCTCTCCTGTGTTCCCCTCCTTCCTAATCAAACAGGGTCTGTTCTCAATGCCTGATAATTAAAATTCCTAGGAAACATAATTAGGAATTTTGTGAGATTTCTATTCTGAAAAAGGTGTCTGAAACGGAGACTTTATACAGAGGCCCTTTTCCTTTTGTACTTAAGAGCCAAGCACATTTTCTGGTGCTAATTCCATAATAAAGCCACACAAAGGCTCCTTTCCTTTATTGGGGAAATCTTGCTAGACTAGCGTTTCCTGTCCCCTTAAAATATGCTGATGTGATAAGGGTCAGTAAAAAACATAAAAAACAAACAACTGATGAGGAAACATTTAAGTCCAATGGAGAAATCTTTACAATTTTGCAGCCTTCAAACGTATTTTTTTTCCCCTTGAGTCTAGCTGTCTTGCTCTGACAAACCAGAACAAGACTGAAACAGCCTTATTCTTTCAGATTACTGAGTCACTAGAGATCGTAGTGGAATAGAACTGGACCGTGATTTCCTCAGTAAAGGTATTTTTTGTGTAGCATCAGTACATGCCATAGAATCCCAATTCTCCTTTTGGAATTTGAATTCCAATTTGCTGCTTTGGGGTAGATACAGATTGCTCCAAAGCACACCTTTTCCCTCCCTCTCCACCCCTGCCCCTCCCAGGGGTCTGTTCCCTTTTCTTTTAACATCACAGTCTGTATTTATTCTACCCTAGACCTTACAATCAGCCCTTTATCTCCAACTTGTGATCCTGACTCCAATAATAGTTTATAGAATAACAGAAGGAAGCCATTTCACTGTCTCCTTTTGCCCGGATTTAAGTTTTTATACTCAGAGGAATGTAGAGACCCAAAGGCAATAAAATCAAGTTTGTGGACAAATCTTAGGAACCTAAGTCTCAGGGAAGAGCTCTCTGATGTGGGGAGCGCGCGTCCCAAGCCCAGACCCCCGTGCCTCCATACCGGCTGGCCGTTGTTCAGGAGGTCCTCCTTGAAGCGCAGTTTTCGTTCCAGGTCTTGAATGACAGCGTCCTTGGTGCCCTGGATCTCCTCATCAGAGGCTATTCGAGCAGTTCTGCTGGCCTTCTTTGGAAATCCCCTGCAGGGCAGACGCACAAGCCATATCAATCCAAGTTGAACATTCAAGTCCAGCAAAGAAAGGGTATATGTGTCAGCATGTTTCTTCCCACTCCTTTTTTTTTTTTTTTTTTTTTTTTTTAAACACTACATCTATTCCAACTAGTTCGGAAAGAACCATGAAAGCTGGATTCGGTGTCCAGGTAACACTAATTAGAACCCGTTTTCAGAGGAAGTTCAGACACCTTAGGGGAGTGTGTGTCTCAGTGGTTAGATAAATGCCAAGGATAGCAAAGGCGTGTTCTAGCTCTAAGGAGGTAGCCATGTAAAGGGAAATAGGATGTGATTTGTAATCAGACCTAGGCTTAAAATCTGGATTTGTCTTGCATTAAATTTGTAATTTTGAGCCAGTTTCTTAAGAGCAGGAATAAACATATTTACCATATCTGACTGTTGAGATGATATGAAAGAGAACATATTTTTCTTTCATACTTTCATTAATTCAGAGCTTCCAATTCTCTGAAATGAATGTATTCAGTAACAGTACTGAGCCCACTCTAACCGATCCTAAGTTTGTTACCTTCCTGTCTATCCTACCTTGATTAGGGAGGATGTTCTATACCAGAGGACCTGGAAGGCCTGCAGGTCCCGCTCTGCGAGGTGCATCCCAAGCCTCCTAAACCTCCTCTCAGGGTAGTTGGCAACCAGAGCCTTTCTCTCCGAGATGAATGACAGGACCCCGAGCCACGGGAGCCGGGGCATTGGTGCTGGGTGCTTGTGCGTGTGGAGTCTACTTCTATTGGTGCCTTAAGCAATTTCCTTCCTATTTCTCCTCCTTTCCCTCACAAGGCTGAGGGTAAAGATTAAGGAGAAGTGGCATATCTGTACTACCGCCTCCTGAGGTCCTGCACCTGGTCTTCCCAACAGCCAGTCTCTCCTCCTGTCCGCTCCCCCCTGTTTTCTTGCAGAGCTCCCTTTGATTTTGTTGGGTGTTGGCCCTTCAGTGTGCTTGGGAAAGGTGATCCCCACCCCTCTCCAAACCCAGGGGTGGTTAATGTCAGTCAGTCTGATTGGTCTCAGTCCTCAGGACAGCAATGAGCCAGAGGTCTGTAGAAGAGGAATAGAGGTGGGATATTGGGGAATAGAGGTGGGAGTGAGAGGGTGCGGTGCCCCAGTTAAAAACTCCCCATCTCTAAAAAACAAACAACAGTAAAAAAACACATGGGAGGACATGTTCCTCTTCTATCACTGTGTCCAAAGAGAAGTGCTCCAATCTGCTGCATCCAGTTGGTGACCACGAGGGGAGAGCCCAGGACATGCCGATGATGTCAGCTTCGGAAGAAAAGCCTGTGTCCCCGAATGTTTGGGGGACACTGTGTTAACCTCCCATGGAACTGCCTGACCCCACTTGTTATGTTTAACAATAAACCTTGTACATTTAATCTGGTAGTTGGGTCTTCTGTTAGCTATAATGGAAAAATTCTGATAGCTTTTCCAGGTCCTTCCTTTCTAGTCATTTGCCCCTGAAGTTCAAATAGGATGATGTTAGACATTGGTTTAAAAACAAAGCAAAACAAAGCAATAAAATATTGTGATATCCTGTGTTAGTAATATCAAAGTGGTTAGTCAAACTTTAAATTGCTCCCTGGGAATGGGTCTTGATTTTTAAGGAGCTGGGCAAATGGATTTGGGGCATATTAATAGCAAGGGCCTTAGGAATTATGATTTGCAAAAAAAATCCTTTAACAAAAATGCACAGAGTCTGCCAACTTTCCTAAGCCCAGAGCCTTCTCTCCCTTACCCTTTCCTCGGGGCAATGTCAGCAGCCTGACGTCTCCTTGGAAAGGAGGGCCCTAAGTCGACCCCATTAACTACTGCACCATGTTCGTTTCCATCATAACCCTTACCACACGTGAGCATCGCATGTCCTGGTGCGCTCTCCCACCATGCCTCCTTTGCTAATCACAGTGCCTGTCAAAGAGCAGGCCTCCAAAGCACATGGGTGGAGTGAGGGCATGGATGCACTCTGCCTCCATCTCCAATTCGATCCTCTCTCTGTGTTCCCAATAATGGGAACATTTGTGCCAGAGCCGAGGGACATCGAACCACATGTAACAGTTAGTCCAGTTCAGAACAAGTAAAAACATCACACGGTTTTGGAAATCAAGTTCTTTGTTGCTCTTGACTACAACCTTGCATCTGAGAACTAGAAGAGCTAGGTCCTGAGAGCTGGTCCTAAAGACAGGGAGCTCATTGAGCACCGGCTTTATTGGGAACACACACGTTCCCATTATCCATTTGCGCCTGACACCATCAACCAGTTGCACAGCCGTGTGACGGTGAGCAGCCTCGATGACGGAGGCTTGCCCGTGTGTCTGCAGGCAGACACGCCGAGAGCTGTTCTCTGCACAGATGAGCATGGAAGGGGCAAAAGGACAGGACGGAGCCCTGAACTAGAGAGGCAGGGAACTGTGTTTAAAAAGACAGCTGCAGTTCTCTGGGACAAGTAAACACCTGTCTGTCTACTACGGAACAAGTCCTGTCACTTCAAAGGCGTCTCTCAGTGCGCTTGCCTCTCAGGGGACCTCGGCGCCTAAGGACCACCGCCCGGGGATGTTACACGCAGGGGACATTCACTTTGGCACGAGTTCCTGCCACTCGGTGTTTTGTAACTTCACATACAATTAAAGCTACTCTTTGATCCGAATACAAACACCCCGGTGGTTCCGTATTTCTTTTTTAACAAGCCAATTCCCTAAGCATAGGAAGATCACCAGCATTCGAAGGGCATATACTTCATCCCTGTTCCCCTATTTTTAAAGACATTATTTTCCCTTACAGAAATCTAAAGCACACGTATTTTCTTGATTGAGCAATTAACACTGAAATGAAGGAAGCAATTGGGAGGTTTTTAAATGCACGAATCTCATAGCATTATTGGGAAAATTACATGAGGTGATGTATAGCTTACAGAAACTAGCTAGCGTGGAAGTGAACCCCAAAGATGAGATTGGCTGAGGGAACCGAATGAAAAAGGGAAAGGAGGTTAAAAAAAAAAAATGCCATGAACCCTGGCTTCTATTTCCAAAAATGTGAAAATAACCTTTACTGATGGCCTTCAGTGTTCAGCTCTGCTCTAGGAATATAATGCTGAACAGCACTTACGTGACTATACTCACAAAACTTCTGTAGTGGAGAGAAGTGGGGGGAGAGAGGAAGAGAAAGAGAGGAGGAGGAAGAGGAAGAGGAAGTAGAGGAAGGGAGAGACGGAAGGGAGGAAGGAAGGAAGGACATATCAGCAGGTGGTCAGCACTGTGAAGGGATAGGAGTGTGAGGAGATGACTAGACATGTGGTTAATCCCAGTTCTGAGCAGCTGACACTACAGCTGAGGCCCAGGTGACAGGAAGGTGCCATCTGTGTGAGGACCTACGGGAGAGCTGGGCAGCCCAAAGGTCCTTGCCAGAATGAGCATGGCAGGGATGACGGCGTTGTGAGCCTTGGGGAGAGGTACAGGCACAGGTTACAGTATTTCTCACACTGGTTTGAATATGGAACCTTTCCCCCCCAGAGAGTATCTCATTTGGACTGATGTAATTCAGGAAATACTTAGAAATTGTGTTAGAAACCGAGTACAGAGTTAAGGGGTTAGTATATAAAGTTTGGGTTAAGAACCAAAATGGAGTATTTGGAAGGGGGAGGCACCAGGAAAGAGAAGTAGTTACAAGTCTTTGAGGCAAAGTTTTGGTAAATGGGTTGTTATCCTACAAAGCTAACACTGTGTTGGAGTTCAAGGCGAAATGGCTGTGGTTTGATCCCCCAGATGGCCTCTACTTTAGATAAACGAAGAGCAGCAACTCATCAGGAAATAAAGAGTGCTTATTCCAAGAAAACCATTGCCCAGCCAGACTGGTTTGGCTCAGTGGATAGAGCGTCGGCCTGCGGACTGAAAGGTCCTGGGTTCGATTCCGGGCAAGGGCATGTACCTTGGTTGCGAGCACATCCCCAGTAGGGGGTGTGCAGGAGGCAGCTGATCGATGTCTCTCTCTCATCGATGTTTCTAACTCTCTATCCCTCTCTCTTTATCTCTGTGAAAAATCAATAAAATATATATTAAAAAAAAAAGAAAGAAAACCATTGCCCAAAGCAGCTCCCTTCACAAAATGCTTACCCAGAAGCAAACCTCAACCACTAAACGGTCCATCCAGGCCTCCCACACACAGCCTCCAGTCGTTCACACACTCCGCCCCACCGTGCAGAAAGCAGCGCTATTTACTCTGGCTTCAACAGCAAGTCACTTACCGTTTAAAAATAATACCCATGTGGCGGGGTTGGGGCAGAACCCTCTCAGGCATGCATGCAAGCATCTGGGAGGTCATATCTTCCAGATTCAGCCACCGCCAAATCCCAGAAGACACTCCCTCACCCCCCCGCACCTTGGCTACTGAATAATCTTAAGAGCATCCTCCCTTGATACACTAGTCTAGGTCAACTCGGTCAGTGTATTTCAGGAACTCAAATCTCCAGGGTACAACACTGATTTTAAGAGGTCGTGAACCTGTCTAGCAGCTGGAGAGAAGTTTTAACTACTTAGAGTTCTCTCATAGTCAGTGATTATCTAATGGTAATGAAATTCCACAACAGTCCAGAGTGAGCAAAATCCTTAACGTGTTAGCATATCATTATCCCTCGTGTTTAAGAAAGTAATATGTCAGTACTATATAAAAGAGCCCAAAATGGTGCTCGCTTAGGCAGCACATATACTAAAATTGGAATGATACAGGGATTTGCATGGTCCCTGCTCAAGGATGACATGCAAATTTGTGAAGCATTCCATATTTTTAAAAGAGAGCCCAGCCGAAACCGGTTTGGCTCAGTATAGAGCGTAGTTCTGCGGACTGAAAGGTCCCAGGTTCGATTCCGGTCAAGGGCATGTACATTGGTTGCGGGCACATCCCCGTAGAGGGTGTGCAAGAGGCAGCTGGTCGATGTTTCTCTCTCATCGATGTTTCTAGCTCTCTATC